GCAGGAATTGCTTTTTAAATTGTTGCTCTACATGCAGTTGCCTTGTTTGTTTAGTGATCCACCTTGTGCTGAGGGAATAAGGCTTAATAAGTATGCCAGTACTCTTCTAATGCTCAACTCTCTGCTTTGCGCAACAATTAACATATTTTTAAATGAACTGACAGCAGACATTTTTGTTGCAGGGGAGTTGAAAGTGAGCAGGTATCCTATACTGCCTTGGCTCACTGATACATCATTGTGGACCAGAAAATTGAACCCAGTCCAGCTTGGGATTATTTTGGTATGTAAGCGAACAAGGATCTGACCAGACCTTTTCCTTTTTCTTCATGCGTTGAAGCTGTGGTATTCTCTTCTTGCATCTTTTAGGCAGGAGGTCTGGTCTTTACTCCCAATATTGTAGTCTGGCAAAGGCCCTTCTGTGATAATGTTCTCTGCTTTGCAGCATTGGCTTGCAGCTTTTTGGGGGCTATACTCCTTTGAAGAGAGGCTTATCAGGAGTTTCACTTATGTGATGCAGTGTTTCTTTGCTGCTCATTTGCAGTGTTTCTTTGCTGCTCAAGTCTATTGATATCATCCCAAGCTAGAGTAGTGTATAAATGATGACATACATGTGTTGACATCAAAGCCCATTTTGTTCTGAACTTGATCCTAGCTTCTGAAACTAAAGGGCTTTGTCATTTTCTTTGGGTGTTCACTAAAACATACAAGTCCTGATCTATTTAATATTCAAGCAAGTTGCATTTTTGTCTGCCAGTGACTTTACAGTATATAGTGGCAAAATATGCTTTGAATGACTTCTGTCGCATGTAACTGCATAAACTGAATCTTGGCCAAAGGAATTTGTTAGCTGCTTTGCTCTGGTAGCTAAGCTGCTTTTTCTCCTAAATACTGTAGGAGGAAAGCATGTGGTGGAAGTAGATACATTTATTAAGCCTCGATTCTGAGGGTGGAGCAGCCACAGTTCATTCACACCTTGTTCTTTTGATATCATCTCTCATCTTCAAGGATGCTCTACTCAAGCTGCTGAGACATCTGCTGCTTTTGATTTCACTGCTTCTGACTTCATCTTTAGTTCTAGATTATCTATGGCAAGTTTATCCATCAACGGGTTGTCTGGATGTATGATGAGCTTTCCTTTTGTCATGATGAACATCTAGTGTTCCTCGAAACTCAACCTCCTGCTTACAGTGGATATGTGTCTTCGTTGAATCTCTAATTTACTAGCTTCCGAGCAACCTAATAGATAGAGCTAATCTTACTCTGAGATCAGTCACTGTTATAACCTTCTAGTTATAAGAGATTATTTCTCATGAATGCAAGCTGTTCTTGATTTGCAGCACTTTCTTTTTCTGCATAATCAAATTTGCTGAGATTAATCCATTTTTACCGGTATTTTTGTCCTCTTCACTTTTAGTATTCAAACAGTAACAGTTTTGGTGAGAGTGAGCTTCTGCAACCCCTGTGGTATTGCTAATAGTAGCAAGGATCCTGTCATCCATTGTCTCTTATGCGTATTTTCTGATTGAGCATCTGCATGCTTACTCAGTACTCTATAGTTTTGTTCTTTTTGCTACTTTTTTTTTCTTCTTACAGAAGCTATGTTCCATCTTGAATGCTGCTGTTCAACTTCAAGCATCAGTTACCTACTACAGGTTTTTCTTGCAGGACTTATTTCTGTTTTGACACAGCAGCATTCAAAAAAGCATAGTGGGTTTGTGTTTTCGTTGTGAACATACTGTTGCATTTCAGAGGAAGTTGAATCTGTGATATTTCACTTTCGTTCAGGTTTCCGGCAACAACAAAACTGGAATATGATTGCAGGTTTTCATGGCTTTCAGAAATGTTCTCTAAGAATTTCCCAGAAATTACACTAGTGACACTTTGATTTGAAGTTATGTGAATTATACCTCTTTTGAATGCTTATTTGGAATATTATCATTTCGTTCTTTTACAGCTTTGCTACAGAAATTTTTTTAAGTTTCAGACTTGCAGCTAACACACTTCTAAGCTACATTCAGATTTGCCAGCTTTGTGTAAATAGTTCATGTAGAAACAATTGGCATCATGGCATCCAGTTTCCATTTGTGTGAGGATCTCAGAAAAGTTACTCATGGAAAACTCATAACATAAAACCAGTACTAAACCATGCAAGTAAACCTGCCTGGCTCGATATTAAATATCCCTGACAGTCCCAACAACTACCACTAAGTTATATGAATAATGCAACATATTGGACCACATCTGTAAGGACAGAGCATGAATATGCATAGTATAACCAGTTTAGCTTATGGTTGAAGAATTAAGATTTCATTTGTATGTACCTTAACCTGTCTCTTTTTTGTTATTTTTAGGATGTTGAGTGTCACTGCATTATGGGCTCTTAAAAGACATGTAGTCGCAGGGCAACCTTGCTTGATTAGCAAATTCTGTATTACCTTTGTTTTGAAAGTCTTTCTGACAAAAAAGTAAATGTTTGTTTCTGTTAAATGTTTGCAACTGCATCTTTGTGCGTAATAACACTTCACTACTCATAATAATAATCGTTATTATGTAGCTGTCTTCACTGCTAACCCCATTTTACAGGTGAGAAACTGGAGAGTGTCAAGTAACGTGAATGTCACCATCTTTCCTTTCCCATTCAGGCATTAACAGTGTAAAACACCATAGCTTAAAAGCAGCTTTTACTTTTCTCTAATTATACATTCACATGTACCTTCCCAGTAAATGGTCATACAATCAGATATTTGGGGGACAATTGTGCTTTATGAATCATCAGCTCTACTTAGAGTTATATTTTTCAAAATGGGGAATTTCTGCTAAAAGCTGGAGTTTTTAAAAAAAAAAAAAAAAGAAAGAAAGAAAGCAAAACAAACAAACAAAAAATGGAAAACAAACCACACCACACACAAAACAAACAAAAAAACCACCACAAAAAAACCAAACCAACAAAAAAAAACAAAAACAAAACAACAAAAAAAAGACCTTTCCATTGTTTTGGTTGTAAAATAGATTTATATTTATAATGCCGGGTATGGTTCAGTTGAGTGGCTGGAAGGTACCTTGAGCCACTTAAATAACATGAAGTTGTTTTCTAGAAATTTTTGACGCTACAGTCATCCTAGAAAAGGTTGCTTTTGGTTAGGAGTGGACAAAAAAGGGATGTTTGGCAAAAGATTTCCAGCTGACTTTCAGTACTGCTTACCCAAAGAAGCTGTGGGAGTAACTCTTTGGTTGTAAGAAAACATGATAGATTGCTGGGAAGACAGTTGCTCATGATTTGACCTTTTTGTGTGTGTGCAAATATAAATAATTTTATTATGTGAGGGCAGGAGAAGCAATGAGACTGTATGAATTTCAGAAATGAGAATACTCCCATTCATGCTTAGACTGTGCATTTTAGCGTCTACTTGTTTCACTGACTCCAAATCTCTTCCATTAGTCCTAGGTGACTCCTCATGTATCAAATAAAGTTTCAGATCAACCTGAATTTAGACTTTAAGGTGTCTAAATTAATGTTCTTACTTCTCTGGCTTTTATTCTGAGTCTCTTTGGTTTTGTGGCCAATTCATTCTATTGAGTATCTCAATCTGAAATTTTGTGCTCAGCTGCTACATTTTGGGGGCATTTTTTTTAAGGGATTGACACTGAAGGGGCATTTTTTTCGTTGTTCTTAACTAGAAGTTTATTTTTATGTAGAATAAAGAATCTTTGGAGAGTTCTAGAGAGGTTTCAAAATTGTGGACCCAGCAGGCTGTACTTACTGGAGATGGTCACGATTTTTGTTTTATTTTCATAATGTTCTTCCCAGAAGCACTGTAGCTCCACAGATGCAAGAAAGCACATTGCCTTTGTTGCTGTTTGAGAACTATGGGATTTAAGATTTCTTCTATCATAAAAGTGTTGGGAATATCACAAGGTGATAGTCTTCTATGGTTTAGTATCCATTTATGAAACTTCTGCTAATTACAAATTAGAAGGAATTACTTTCTAAAACCTATTCCTAAACAGAATTAAGGTTGAGAATATGTGTCAGGAATCCAAGGTAAACCATGTTAACAAAGATGTGGTTCTCACAAAATATTATAAACCCTGTTCACTTCCAAAACAGCATAAACTAGCCAGTTTGAATCTGTTTTATAAGCTATAAAACATGACTACAAAAAACTAGCAGAATTTGATGATGTAAAATAATGTTTATAATGTGTTTAAAACAATCTACAGATATTGGATCCAATTCATACCCATTTATTTTGGTGGTAAAACTTATATTTATTCAGACAAGAACAACACTATGTTTTGTCCTTGGATATAGAGTATCTGATTTATTTGTGTCTAAATTGTTCTCCTCTTTTAAGAGTGACTGTTTTTAGACAAATTACTATTTCCAACATATTTGTTTAAGTTCTTGTATAGAAATCATTAAAGCAGTGAAGCTAAGCTAAGTATTTGGTGTTGCATCATTCTTACTGTTAATTAGATGAGCATTGTTACAGTGCTATCATAGCAATGTTATTTTAAAACAATCATTTTTTTGTAGTTATTTTTGCCATCTTTTATTGCAAATTAAGATGTAATAATTAAAATAGTTACAAATCGTTGTTTACACTACAGTCCAAGTTGTTGGTGACCTACTAGAACATTAGTGTTAGAAGGTGTTTATGGTGTGCTGAAAGTATGTGCTAAAATTCTTTAAAAGGTCTGGATTTAGCACTGCTTTCTTGGATTAAATTAGGAAAATACATGTGGTAGATATCAATCTAATATTAGTATACATTTTTCATAAAACTTAAGTTGATGAAGCTGTTTCTTCTGTCAAGTATTTGTTACCTTGTAGACAGCCATTAAGACTCGCTGAGGTCGTGAATAATTTAATTTATGATTAATAACATTAATTAAACATAACAGAGGCAGCACCATACTTCAGCAGATTAAATTTGCCTTTAATGCAGCATAAACAAAGATGATATAGGCATAAGCAGTTTTGAGGGTTTTGTTCAGTTTTTCCTTTTTTATAGGAAACCTTTGTAAGGTTAGGTTTTTATACTAGAACTGATGACTTAAGGTTTTGTAGGAGACATACTTCTTGCTATCTCTGCGATAGCTTTTTCTTATATAAACACAGAAAATCAATTTTAGTGATGTTGTGATAAGCTGCTTAATTAATGTGATTTTTAAAAGTCAATAAATTTAAATAATTTATAGCTCATCTAATGTATGGACTGTGCTGTGAAGGTATTTTGAGGGAAGTATCTCCTCCAAATAGTAGTTGGAGGTCAGCTGCAATGTTTTACAGTTGCCCTAAAGTAAACTACAGTTGTGTTCTGGGTATTTGGGCTATGGTAGACAATTAAAAGAAAAGTGAGCTTGTTTTGCAGAATGTTTTTGTTGGGTTGTAATATAGCTTTATGCACTTCTAAAAAGTGCATTTCAGCAAATTTATCATTTCAAATGTTAAATACTTCAGTCATGGTTTAAAAGGCCTTTATGGTGAGGAGATTATTCCTCGTGTAGAATTGCAGTAAGCGCTAGAATAAAAGTATTGCTAACCATCTTAAGACTGTTGCTTCCTGATTTTCCTGAGGTGAGATAACTGGAACAGGTTACATGAAACAAGTTTATCTTATAATTTCTGTATACCCAATAAAACATTTTAAAATTCTGAAATGCTCTTCTGGAACTCTGAGGTACGTTTAAACTCAAAATAAGTACCAACTTTAAAAATTGATTTCAGATTACCAAGTTGCTTTCTTACAGTAAGTACCTTCATCCTTATCTCTATTTTAACCATACAGTATTTTAAAACATTGAATTTTAATTCATTATCCACTAGGTTAAAGACCGAAATCTCCATTAGAGAGAGGGAAGCTAAGTTGGAGGTAATGTCTTTTCTTTTCTCCACACAGTCTAACAATATCTCTGAACTTCATAGCTAGTTTGAAGATCCAAGACAATTCTTTTTTAACTATTCATACAATATTGGGTCATGGTGTTCAGAAAATGTTTGGAAATGCCTCTTCAGGCCTGAATTACTTTTTTTCTAGGCATGTGTACAAATTTTCTCCTGCTTTCTGCTTATCAGGAAGCTAAATGATCTCACAGTATATTTTCTTAACTTTTTTCAAAAATATCATCTTTGGATTCTGATTTTACAGAATTTTCTTCTGTAAGAAGTTGTCTTTCTGTTGCCCTTCAAAAAGGGCAATCTGTTACAGAAATCCCAGCCAGTAAGAGAGTGGGAGAAGTCTTCAGACCTAGTAAAGATTTTTCTTGTAACACTGCTTGCCTACTTTCCAAAACACAAAGGGGTTGGTGAGTTTTTTTAACAGAAGCAATGATTTTGTAGAAATGTGAAAATCCACTTCATTCAGCAGCATTAGGCAAGATTCTCAAACATACACAGTAACACCTTTTCTTCCATGGACTCCATTATTACTTCAGGTGTGTTTTCTCTTAGTTTTTCTTTTTTTTTTTTTCATCCCATGTTGTGTTTCAGCATTACAAAAGATGTGGAATTTGCATTTTTTATTCCACAAAATTGTGTTCCATAATATTGGCTTTCATGTAAAAATGAGACAAAAAATGTAACATTCCCCTCCCCCAAACCCAAACGAAAACAAAACCCAATCCACACACCCTAGCCCTTACGGTTTGAAAAGATGGAGAATACAAACAGAATAGGCTACTTTGGTGTTGGCTGTCTGAGCTTACAGGACATCTGAACCAAGACCTTTCAGAACAGCGAGCTGCCGTTCAGTGCAGTCTGGGCCACGTGGAAACTCTGGTTGTTTTTTCCAAGGTGCCATGGAATGCCTGTTATTTCACTGCAGCCAGATGCTTGACATTTTGGCTGCTTGTTGAAATACAAACAGGAGGTCAAAGGACAGACCCTTAGGGTGCTGAAGAACCAAAAATATAAATTGATGAATCAGTAAAAACATAGCATGTAAAACTCAAATAAGTCAGGAAATCTTCCTTTTCTGGTAGTTCCCAGCAGGGAGTATGGTCAGCCAGGGCAGTGGAGGATGGTGGATAGGGAAGGAGGTTCTGTAGCAGGAAGTAGAGTGCAGTAATTTTAAGTTGGAAAGTGTTTCTTAGCATGGGTCATATGTGTATGGGTTTTGTATGACAGAAATATAACAAAGTATGATAGAAGTATAGCAAAGGATATTTTAGAAGGTAGAATAAACTTATCATTATCATACAATTTTAAAATACTTGCTGCATAATTTGGCCTCGTTGAAACAAAATATACCACCTCTGTGGGGGAAAAAAAAACTATGCTAAAAGTATGTAACATTGTTTACATAATTTTAAATATTTAAGAGGTTGTGATACATATAATCATTTAAAATGTTCATCTTTATGTACAGTGACCTTTTCTATTTTAAAACCAAAATTAACTTACAGTTGTATTCAGATGGAAGAAAGTTTAATTTCTTAATTTTGTCACTTAGGCACTTACAATTTCCTAAATGAGGATAAGATTATGTGGGCAAGATGCCCTGTAGCATAGGAGATGCTTTTAGAAGGCTGGTGTGGTTGTTTCCAAATGGCAGTTTTCAGTCACTTGCTTTTCTACTGTTCTAAAAATGGGGGGAAAAAAATTGCCTTTGTTCATGTTTAGAGTTAAAAAGTTATTTAATTGGGTAAATTTTAATAAGAGACTCAAAAGTTTCTTCTGTGACAGGCATTGTGTTAAGAATCTTCCTTAGACTTAATGTAATAGCATCTGTAGGGCTAAAACACTGTGTAATGCTTAAAAAAATATACTCGTCTCAACTTTGTCTTTCTTGCTTTTCCTTTGCTTTTTTTTTGGCTTTTTTTTCCCTAGCAAAACACAAGTTTAGTTCAGATTTTTTTTCCTCTCCAAATAAAAAGCTGTTCAGGCTTAGTTTGCATCCTATTCAATAAGACATAATTAAAAATTATGTATACGAAAAAGGCTACAAGAGTTGCTTTAAAGTTTTGCTTTGTTTCTGGGGTTTTTGGTGGTTTTTTGTTTGGGTTTTTGTTGGTTTTTTTTAACTTGAAAGACCATTTGCAAACATCTGTACTAAGATCCATGCTCAATCTCTGCTACATAGCAGATTTATTGGAATGTCAGTGTGAAATTATTTCTACAACTTTATATTGTAATCAGTTGCTCATGAACGTAAAATAAAAGAAATATCATTAATTATTACAGAAAATTTCAAGACCTAGTATATCTGAAGGAAAAACAGAAACACCAACTTTTGAAAGGTAAATACAATGATCAGCTGCATCTTGAAATCAGGTACATAAAATAATAGATGCTGTGTTATTTCGCAGGTAATTGGGCAAAAGTATTTAATTAGTATTTTCATAATGTATTTTCTATGATAGAAAATTTTGTATGGCAGTTGTCATGTACTTACTCAACAAGACATGCAGAATTTAGGTTCCGAGTGTCAAAACACCTTCTTAGTAATGCTTAAACTGCAAATTAGTCGAGATTCATAAGATATTAAATAAATTGTACAGATTGTTAAAAGAAGCATTTTTTAATAATATTGCATGTGAGTTAACAGTATTACTGGGGCAATTGGGAAACAATTTTAAAACACAGTATAAAATGTTAATTCTTGGATATTCATTTAGGTTTTTAAAAATCTGTGTCATTTGTGGAAAGCATACTCAGCCAAATTCTTAGCAGAGCAGATATGTGAAATTGTTGAGTAACTAACAATTATAGCTCTACACTTTAAAAAAATATGCAAAATTGTGGAATTTTTTTATATCAGTCTGGGGAAAGAATTGAAAATCCTACACATTTCTTTTGGCACGTATTGTGGGCAGATTTATATTTCATATAATTCATCTAAATTATTACTCCAGATCCCACAGCCTGAAATGTCTTATTACAGTTAGTGATCTTTCACAATTGTTGGTGCAAATCTAACCTTTAAAAGCTTGGTCAAAATATAATTATAGTTATTTGTTGTATATGCATTTATAGTGCCTTTAAAAAAAAAAAACAAGCTGCTTTCAGAGTCTCTCTGTAGGTTACTTTTCTTCTTAGAAAAGCTTCTGCTTTATCTCTCTTTGTTCTAGTCATATGCAGTGTGGGCCAAATAATTTGAAATTTTACTTTCACTTAAACTGGGCTTTAAGACAGACATCTGGAGTATTGTAGCTCTAGCACCAGAGATTCTGAGTCCTCAAACACTTTTCTCTGTTATTAAGCCAAGATAATTATGTTGATATCAGCAAGTAATTAGTGCTGCAGGAGCAGATCAGTAGATGAAAGCAGTTGATTCTGAGAATCCTGCATCTTCACTGCACTGTGGTTCGGAGGTGTTATTTTAGACCAGACTTGTATTCCCTGGACAGGATGCCCATACTGTGCACGTATTCAGAGCTGTGTGGAACATCCGTTGTTGGTTTGGACTCTTGAGGACCCAGCTCTGTTAGGAGTTAGAGCACTTGTGGATCAGAGCTTTCAGTTCATTTTCCTCAAAAAGAAATCTAGTTTGCATACCCCAGGACTACTCTGTAAACCAAACCAGTCTGTGGGAACAATCAAGGAATGTACCTCAAAACCATGGTGGTGTTTCACACCAAACAGTTAATGTAAATGCAGCTGTAATACGGGTTTTGTTACCCGGAAATACTTTTCCACAGACTGAAGGTGTGTTTGCACATACTTTGCAATTACTCTCTATGCAGATGTGTAAATGTCACTTGTTTATAGTTCTGTTCTGAAGTTGTATGACTTTTTCTTTCTTGCTGTAGAATTTTTCCCTGAATGATTTTTAAAATCTTAATATAAAATACCATTATAAAATAATAAAATACTCTAAAGTTAAATGAATATGTATAGCAAACAGCAGCCAAAAAATTTGAGGTAGTAGGATTTTAAACAACAAATATTCAGAGCCTAGCTTCTCTCAGCCTCACTTGGCACCCAAATCTTAATTTTCTATACAATGAGAAAAAGAAAAAAAAAAAATCCCTTTAATTTCTATGCTTCTGTAGCTTGGGATGGGTGTATGTTTGCAGCTGGTAGACTCATCTCTTGGATTCAAAATTGTGTCTTACGCTACTCCTTTGAAGTAGTCTTATTCTAAAACCTGACTTTATATAGATGATATGGCAGCTAGTTTGTTAGTATAGCCCATATTTGATAGTCTATGTTTGTATCATGCTTTAGAAAATGGGCTCATTGTTTTCATTAAACAAAAGTCAGATTTTACATTCTAACTGCTCACTGAAATCCTCCTTTCTATATAACACAGTTGTTTTCATTCTCGCATTTTCCGGTCTTTCTGAATTTTTAGTTTTCTTACACTGTAACCAGTATTGTTTGCACGTAGAGTAGTAAGACTACATTTCATTCCTAATATTAAATGGAAGGCTATTCTTCAGCTACTGACTTACTAACAGAATGATTTCTTGAAATCCTATACAATTTTTCTTTTTATTGCGGGATTTTAGTGCGTCACAATTGCTAGGTTTTGTTTATTCATCTGCAATTCTCGGCAGAGGTAAATTATTTCATTGGACAACTGTTCTATCTAAATGAACTTACTGTTGTGCTTAGCAATCTAAAAGATCACTGTCCTTGTGGGTAATTGGTTTTGTGATGGTGATTGTTGTGCAAAAACTTGTTCGATTTTATTTTTATACTCTGTTTTATTGGTATAAATGACTCACAGGAAGGTATGCTGATGAGAGACAGCATGTTGCTGCGTGAGAAATGAATTTTTTTTTTTTTTCTCGTTCCTCCTCACTTCCTCTCCCTCCCTTCCTGTGTTTTGCCGAAAATGAGTGAGAATGAGAGGCTGGGTTTGGATGAAGGTGGGGTTTTGGTTTCTAGAAGGTGAGGGAAATTGTGACAGATTCCTTTTATATGTTAGGGGCAGATTTGTCCTTTGAAGAGTTTCTCGGTGTGAATCGTGTGTGTGTGTGTGTGTGTGTGTGTGTACATGTATGTAATCCATCTGGGATTTCCAGTGTGAAAACACTGCTCTGTGTGTGCTAATGAGACATTAGTTATCCCTTTGCTAATGAGGCATTAGTTATCCCTTTATTTAAAACTTTTTTTTTTTTGCATATCTGTGTTCGAAACTTATGCACATAGAGCATAATGCTGTGCTTGTTGACTCTGCCACTACAGCTCACCCGGAAGCTGCTTGTTGAAAAGTAAAAGCTAAAGGTCATGTATGTACACCGTTTCATAAAGAGTTGACTGGATTTTCATATGAAAACAATTCTAAATATTTACTAGCATTTATACAGCTCTGTATAGCTTAAGTGTTTGTCTGGAATAGATGAGGTAATTAGGAACAATTATGGCAAGAGCAGTTATGTCAGCCACAGCTGACAGGTGGTTCTGAGTGTTGGCTTTTGTGCTGGAACTTAGTCTTGATTTTTCCCTCAAATATTACCCTTTTTCCCCTTTTTTCTATAAGTTTGAGAGAGAGGAGAAAAACTTGGATAGAAAATTTGTTTGTATATTCGAGAATGTCATTTACTGGTTTAGATAGTCTAATAAATGAAAAAAACTTTGTTTGACACAAGTAGCAAATATAGGTTGTAATTTGGTAAAGAGGTTGGCCTCTCTCTTGAGTTAATTCCTTATTATGAATGAAAAATTGGTGTAACGGGATTAAAAGATTCTTATGACTACCTCAAGGGTAAGATTTCACCACTGAAGGATATTTCAGCAGTCTCTTATCCCTACTTAAATTATTCCTCTGACTTAAATTCGAAGTAGGAAATGGAATATTCTAGGATTAGTTTATTTAAGTGAAAGTAAAACTTGAAAACATATTTCTGAAAGTTTGTAGTATGTAGCACCTCTTCCAGAATAACCATTTTCTGTAGAACACAATATCATTTAGCATATAGGCAAATCACATGAATTGTTTTACATTTCTGGATCAGTAGAACAACATGTCTAGACTTTCAGCTTGAAAATGTATCATAAAAACATAGTAGCAGGAAATCGGTTATTCCTTTTAAGAGTCTTGGAACTGTCTGTTGCTTAGATAATGATAAAGTGGTTTTAGCCAAAAATTATTTCAAACCATTTTTAAAACTGTTTGAAGAAATAAGTACAAATGCATTTTAATTAATGAGATATTTGGTGACGTTACATCTCTCACATCTTTTGTCTGCATGTCACTGTTCAGAGACTATTTTCAATTTAAGTTTTAAATTTTAAAAGTTAATTTGGGAGATTTATTTGCTCCTAATTTCACTTCCTATATAGAATTTATATCTGAAATCAGACCAACTGTTGTTCTTCCATCTTCCCCCCCTGCTTTATGTTCTCTGTCACCATCATTTTAGGTAGTTTGAGCTATTTCTCATTCTGAAAAATTTTGAATGGGTTAGAAATTATATTAAACTTTTACCAAATTTGTATCTTTACAGCAAAAATTGAGCTCTGTCATTGAAAGGATGGGAAAAGCTGGTGTTCCTATTACAAATGAAGTATTTAGGATTTTGACTGTTGGAATATGAACATATGAGCAAATTGCATATAGCAATAAGACCAGACTATGTTTTGTATTTTTGTGGGTACGGATGGTATTTGAAGTATACAGTTCAGTCTTTCTTTGAAGCATTCTGATCCCCCCCCGCCGTCACCCTAAAGCATTGCATGCATGTGGCTTTACTGAAATAATACAAAGTTTAAACAGTCAGTTTGTCTACAAAGTTCATACGCTGTATATTAGATTTTATTATACAGTAAGATTCTCATTTATACTTGCATAATTCAGTACTGATCTATATTTCCTTTTTATAAACATACAGTTTTACTCTGAAAAGTGACTGAAAATGCTACTTCACAGATTCACTTTTTCGGTGAATCCAAATTTGTAGTTGCTCAACTATATTTTAGATTTAAGTTAATTTAGATTTCCAACTGTTAGCTTTTTTCCTCGCTTTACTCTCATTAGCATTGCAGAGTCAATTTGACGTATAAAGGTACGAACTGGTTTCTTTCTTGCACGTCATCAACAAAAGTTTCCAAGTAGTTTTATCTGCATCTGTGTCGAAGGGGCTGTGCAGGTAGAGGAACTTAACATTGTATTCTGGAAAATTCCATGTGTCACACAAAGGGAACAACTTAACCTTCCTTTCTGGAGATGAAATGCAAGAACTAAAGAGTACTAACTGACTGCTAAATACAAAGCTGCGTTTGTAAATAAGTAAGAAAAATGCAGCTGTTAATTAAATTCAGCCCATCTTACTATGAGAATTTGTGAGAAATACCAAATAGGAAATCTACAATACTACTTTCTGAGTGTCACTGTGCAGAGTACAGCCATGTGTTGCTTTATTTCCTTTGTTATAAAAATAACTTGTTTTGTTTTTTTCAGCAAACAGGAGCATGACTCTTCAGATGAAACAAAAGAATGCAATAGAAATCAAACTAAAAAGGTTGCATCAGTTGAAAAGAATGAAGAAAACTCATCATTGTCAAATACAGAAAATGTTCCTGGTTTGGAACTCCCTGACAACAGCTCAAAGAATTGTTTGCGTGAGAAAGGAGCGTGTTGTGATTCAGATAATAACAAACAATTAGTAGATGAGAAACAAAAATGTATTCACGATGAAAGTGAGTTGAAAACTTGCCAAAGTTTAGATAATGTTACCTTGAATGAGCAGACTAAAGTACATAGCTTGGATGAAACTACACTTTCAGCAATGAACGCAAGGGACTTAAAACTAACATTGGGTGAAGATGTTAGTTTTGAGCAGTTCTTGAGAAAAAGAGATGAACCTGAATCCGTTAGTTCAGACATTAGTGAACAAGGCAGTATTCATTTGGAGCCTTTGACTCCATCAGAGGTACTAGAGCATGAAGCTACTGAAATTCTTCAAAAAGGTAATGTTGCACCTTCATCAAAGAAAGCTGGACAACTCTCTGAACAAACAGATGAGACTTCTAAAGAAAGCAGTCCCAACAGAATGGAAACAACTGTAAACAAGACAGATGAAAATGAAGCAAGCTGAAATTATGTTAATTTTATTGTTTGTTATAAACAATGGTAAGAACACCATGGACCATTCCTGATGAGTGTGCTCATTGATGCCAATTATTAAAAATAAAAAAGGGGTTGTGGAGAGGGAGGAGAGAAAGAGACACTAAAGGAAAGTTTTGCATATGAAGGTAGCATGTATGTGTATGTACAAGTGAATTAACTAAATTTACAAAAGGTAACGTGTTCAAATATATCTTCCTGTCTTTTGGATGCAATATATCTTACTAGATTGACATTTGAAAGGAGGAATAAATTCTAATTTTTATAGTTAACTAGCCTGGGATAAGGTGATTTGTTTGCCAAGAAAATATTTTTTTAAATCCTTCAGTGTGAATATCATTAAACAGTGGAATTCAGTATGAATTCACTTCTGATGCTGAAATGGAGCACACTTGTAATGATGGTTATTGGTCTGCTGATAATTTGGGTAAATTGGACCCTTTGGACTTGGTGTCACATTCCTGTCTGTAAAAGCATGTAAACAGAATTATATGAATCTATGCACCTCTGTACAGGTGTAATCCTGCCAGGCTGTAAGCTTACCTTAATAAACTTTCAGTGAAAGTGGAATTATTACAATAAAAATATATATTTGTGGGGTTCTCAGTGTGCAGGCTGTGCAGAAATATCGAACATAATTGTATAAAATAGAACATACTGCTGAAAGTACTGTAGCTGTTAGGCTTTTGCCATTGTTTTAATTATTCTTAGCAGTAGACCCATAGGAATGGTCTGTAAGTCACACCAAAGTATGGTTTAATATAAAAACTGTTTTAAGCAAAAAGAAGGAAAACCCCAAACTGGAATCACCAACTGGCATGCATTCTGCCATTTTGCAGCTGCTACTGGCTAACTGTTACAAAAAGGACACAAGGGCGTATAAAGTAGATTTGTACAGTTCAATTTCAGGACATTTTGTAGTCTAAATTGTGTACAGAAGGATGGCTGCTCGTTTTGGTTTGGTTTTTTTTTTGTCTTCTAGTTAGCAGCTAGATGTAGGAATGCATATGATTAATGGTAGCTTGCTCTTATGACTTTGTTGCTCCATTTGAAACATTCAGAATGTGCTTTTGACTTACAGTTTTGTTTCTAATGAATGTTAAATGTTTTGAACAGCTGTTTAAGCACTGCTGTAAATTATTACTTTTTGAGTAAATATTTGCAACAAAATTTTGTCTTTGTGCATAATTTTATGCTCAGCTTGAAACTTTGGGCATAGTCTTCCCACATTTTTTTAAAAGATTTAGTGACAGTTCCCAAAAACTATTTCATTTCAAAATTGTGAATTTGAGACTTATGTGGGTTTTTTTGTTTGGTTGGGGTTTTTTGTTTGGGTGGGGTTTTTTGGGTTTTTTTAGAATTAAATGAGCAAGTGCCTATGCATAAACATATTTTTGTAGCTGTGCATTGTGGTAAGATGTGCTAACTTTTCCAGATTATACAGAGATATTTTTCTGGGCCATCGTCATGCAACTGAAGTTTACTCTGTCCTCCTAGGTTAACTGGGCTCAGCTGCTAAATGAATCTAATCAGCAGTATTAAAATTTAGAGACCATCCAGCTTATTGTTGGAGCCTCTAAAGAAACCACCTTACTCTCAACATCTCAAAAATTGCTTCAGACTTAAATTTTGAATTGCATCTTAATTTTCATCTATTCAGGTTTAGAAGACTTTTAAAAAGAAAAGTGGAACAGTTTACATAGTCACAGCTCTTCAGGATCTGCCGCTTTTAAGAACTTCAAATAACAAGACACATGAAAAAGCTGAGAGCAATAAGTTGCAGTATTCTTTTGTTCTTTAAAGATTTTAGTGAAATCGTTAACTCGAGATATGATTAACCAGTCTGATGTCTTCAGGCATGTACACATGAAAGATTATAAAATACAGCATCGCAATGAGGAGCATCACCTTCTTTAAGTTTAAAGGACTTAATCAGCTATGGAACTTGATGTGTTATGTTACTGAAAGAGTTCCTGAATGCATCTGCATTTAAACCCAGAGAAATCTCTATAGTATTTTTAATCTGATTGATGATCTTCCATGCAAATGTTATATTTTGAATAACGCTCTGATATGTTGTGCTGGAAAAGATTAAGTTCAACTGGAACCAGTTGTATACTTGCTTGTAAATTCCTCACATTTGTCTTTTATTATGCAATTAAATTTTTAAAACATTTACAGTTTTAATAATAAGAATTTGGAACAATTTGGCCACATACTATTGAGAAAACTTGGAAAATAAAACTCAGATTGAAAAATCTGCATATTTGGCAGATGTATATATATATTCTCAGATACTTAATATGTAAAGCATTGTTTGTTTCAAACCATGTAGAGAATGCTTATACAAAAGTTAATGTTAGGTATAAAACGCCCAAGTATCTAGTAGCCTTTCCAAAGGAAGAGGTGAGAGAACTAGATTGTTCTAGCAAGACCATCAGATAGCTTTAAATAGGCAAGTAAGGTGTATCATGAAAACAGGGACGTGATATTTTTGTGAAGGAGGAAAACTAAAATTCATCACAATTTTTCCTATATGAAGTAATTAATTTGCTGACTAAACACTGTAGGAGACTGCATAATTATGAAGATTAATCTCTATCATGTTATTTGGGAGGTTTCCTAGAGATAAGTTAAATTGGTACTTTTGGCTGAAGTCACTCCAGAAGATCAAGTTACATTGAATGCATTTTGAGTTATTCAATCATAACTGCACATAATTCAGGTTTTTTGTTTGTTTCTGAGTAATTTTAAAGTTGTTTTTTTTTCCATCCAGCCATCAGTAGTTCTTATTCTGTGCCACCTCTCTTTTTGTACTTAGGAAGACATCTTACCTCAAGTTTTCATTGCCTTACCAAAAACCAGTAACTTAAAGTTAATTCATTTCCCCTCGTCTCAAGAGATTTACTATATTTGCTTGAATAATCATTTCAGGTTGTTTATATAACATTTATTTTTAAGGAAATCACATGCCACACGTATGCTATCTTCATTGGTTGCATTTAATGGAAAACTGTTGTCATTATTAGCTTATGGTCAGTGAGTGTTCAGTCACTTGGAGCTTCCTCACGTGCCGCTGTCTGTTTGCCGTGTGCAGTTTGGGAAAGAAACTTTGGTTTACCTCAGTTCAGTTTTTCTTTAACAGAATGGATGAGTAAACCCAGGAAAAAAAAATCAGATCAAATCATAGCACATACTGAGTTCTAAGTATGGGGTGATGTATTTTAAACAAGAAAATTTTTATAACAAAACCATGTCTGCTTTTCTTTTCCTGGAAATGGAGGAGGGGAGAGAGAGAGAGAATAACCCTGGGCAATAGGTGTTAAATCATGTTCTGCCAGAAGGCATTAGAAACTGAAGGTCAGGGTAAAGAATCTTGAGTAACACTTGGTATTCTGCAAAACCTTAAATAAAAGATCTCAAAGCTTTTCTGCAGGCATTAAGCATTGTTATTTATGCTAGCATGTAGAAAGCAGTTATTTTTTTATGCTGTAGGATATACTAATATTCCACCAAAGACTGTGTGGCCATAGGCTGTCACAGTAGAGTTTTGTTAGAGACTGTTTAGAAATTTTTGTGTAGGGCAAATTTTATACCTGATTGTTCTCTCTTTGTTTTCATTAGTGTTTGATTTTTGAGGCTTGTGAGCTTATTTTTGTCTAGTTGCATCCTGTATTTTTTTGATGTATGCTTAATACGCCTCTAATAAAAAAAAAAATTGGTAAGTATGTTTTATGGTTACTTGAATGATTTTTTGCTTTTAGTAAAACCTTTACTCCACTTTTAATGTAGCTCAAAAGGACAGTTCTTAGATGAAGTCCAGCATGTTATCTCCTTTGACCATCACATTTTTACGCATAATTTTGACTCTGTAATTTTTCCTCATTAATTCAGTGCTAAAAGGGAAAGTATGTCGACTGGTATTTCATATTAGTTTACAGACACTATGCAGAAAGTTCTTTGCTATGTTCCTTTGAGTTTTGGATTATTGTTCTAGCTCTAAGACACTTAATTAGAATTTTGTATTCAGTCATTTCATTGACTCAAAGTAACCATGTTAAGTTGATGTTTCCTGTATTGCACCAGATTTAAAAAAAAAAAAAAAAAGTAGAAAATGTTTAGCTGTGAAACACTTCATTTTAAGGGCGATTAAGGTAGTTGTTATGCCAGCAAGGTGGTATAAAGCTAATGTGTTTATTGATGTAAAAATGTTACTTCAGAGAGGCTGAGGTTTTGGTGACAACCACAAGGATAACTGTGATGTTATATGTATATCTGCATTTAAATTTGGGCAAATTTAGCTTCATATTTAAGAAAATTAAATGCTCAAATTACATGTATGGGCTGTATCAGACAATTTTAAAATAAGATTAATTCCATGATCAAAAAGCGGTAGCTTGTCAGCAACCAATTCTCCATTATTTAAGCATTTTTAAAGTAACATTGCTAAACAAATCCCTTATCTTATGAATTTAATGTAAATAAACTTTGTTTCATATTTTAGTTCACTAAATTCTCAATGTTAGGTATTTAATTCAAAAGAGCTGTTTTCTCCAAAAATTTTGGTGAATGGGGTAGCATATAGTGGTATCTTTATAAAGAAAGTTGTCTCATACTGATAATGTGGTAGCCTTGAAAATGTAACCTTCATATGTTTTGCACATAAATAGTATAATTAAGAATTAATTCTTTTGACTAAAGGAAAGAAACCTGCGGGTCTGCTTCTTACAGCCTTTTGTGACTTTTTCATTCTGATCCTGTCATGATATTCTAGCAACAAATTGAAGTCCTTACTTTCCTCTCTTTTAAGGCTGTAGAAGATGTGGAACATGAATACTCAATAGTTTTAAAACTGTATATATTTTAATTACCTGGGTGTTTGCTACCTGAAATGAGGATTGAATTTTGTGTACCAGTTTCTCAGGTTTTCAGCTGAATTCAGCTGAGATTTGTGTCTTTCCACTTAATCTT